TCCTTTTTATCCTTTAGACGTGACATGCTTCAAGTCCGGCCCATGTTTTAGTCACAGCCCACTGCTCTCCGCTGTCCGTCACAGGCCTCGTGTGCGTTTCTTTATGCACGTTCGCCATGGGGTCAAGCAAGCTTTACTGATGTGTTGCACTTTTTATCATCTGGATGTTTTTTATATCCTTGAATGTTCTGTATATCCACAAACACTCAAAGGTCATGAAGGTCAAGAAACAGGTACTCCAATCCTCTGCATTCGTCCTTTTTTTTCTGTATTCAACCAGAAGGAAAACACTTTGTTCCTTGTCAAACGACACACACTCGCAGGCCTCTTCTGCCTTACGGTTTTTTTGAAGAAGGGAAATCCTCTGAGAAAATATTTTCACAAACCCCAAAAGATAAAAAAAATAAACCGAGACAAACAAAACAACCTGCCTGTGCAGTGTGCTCTGTCAGCATCCTGTCAACGGTGCACAGCCAATTAGGAGTACAGCCAAATGGCTGGGTACGCTTTGAGTTTTCCAACCCCGCTGATCTGGTACCCAACACACACACACACACACACACACGCATTCTCATGGAACACAAGTGAACATTGAAAATGAAAGTCTAACGAACAAATAGCCAGAGTCACATTTTCAGTTTCTGAAGTTTGAACCTGACTCTCTGATTGTTTTCCTCAGCTGCTAAACGTCGGTTGGCCATTTGACTACATTTCCATATTCTGAGCATGTGAGGCTGTGAGCCCGCACCACTCGAATAAAGAGTTTGTTTATCTGTCTGGACGATAACTCTGAACTCGATATCCTCTCTGCATAAAATCCTGGCCGCGGTCCTGCCACCGGCTGAGGAGTCTGTACAGATACAACATGCATCCTTCTGCTCACACCCACACAAAAGCACTGCTCGCACGCCCCCCCCCCTCTCTCTCTCTGTTTTGTGTATGTGTGTGTGTAGAGCTCATCATTACCTCGACTACTTTCCATATGGGACCTGACATTTTAGGGACATTTTGATGGTACCTGAGGACGGTCGGCGTGTGCAGGAAGGTGACACTACAAACTCGTATGGTCATTTGAATAACAAACACACACACGTACACACACCGGCCGGCCACTCCATTAGAGCTGCTCTACATCAAGGTATCGAATTGCAAAAAACAAGCATTCCTAGGACTGAAATGGGATATGGGATCAAACCGTTCAGTGGTTTAGAAGTTCAACTTCAGCAAATCAGTAAGTCCACGAACGAGGGGAAGCACAACAGGAAATCAACAGGAAACAGACCCTCACTGTCATAAAAATCCGATATGGGTCACATATGGGCAAAACATTTGGGCCACATCTGGCTGCAGAGTGAATGTAGCCTAACTTTTACAAGCCGACAAATGTTTACCGTGCAGAAAATCTGTTTTTCTCCAGAGGGGCGTTTGAGACCCACAACAAAACCCCGGGCGAGTTTTGTCTAATTTGGACGTAGCGCACAAGCGGTCCGGTGCTGCTGCTGACAGCAGCTGACATGTCAGCACCGGAGTAAAATGCAAGGCAGCAAGTGTGATGCTGGTGTTAAGACGTGAACAGATGCCCGAGTAAACAAAGGTGCCGTTTTAGTGCTGGAGTGTGCAGACATCCAAAGAGCCACCCCCCCACCCCCACCCCTTTACACAGCCGGCGGCTCGGCCCTCGGGGGGGGGGGGTTTACCAACAACACTGTCTTCAGAGCAGGGAAAATGCTGCACGGAGCACATGATGCCAAAATCCACACGAGGCACAGATGAGGTTGTTCTAAACACATCCCCTCTCATGGTGGTACAAAGGACTCAAATGACCCCCGCCCCAGAGATTTAATAAACCTTCAGTGTTTATTAAGTACAAAATAAGATGTGTGGTTCTCTCTCTCTCTCTCTGGGGCTAACCTCCTTCAGTGGACATAATGCTGGACTGCATTCGGGGGCTTAGTCCAACTGCCCGAGTCGACCATTGTGCCAATCACGCCATTTGCTACTGACAACACGCTCCAGTGTTTAGGATTTGCGCTCGCAATAGCCATAGGACCCTTCAGCCAATCGTGAGGCTTTCCCTGACTACAAGTAGTTGACAGGCTTGTTCTGTGTGTTTGTGTGTGTGTGTGTGACAGCTAAAGAGCAGATAGGGAGTAGGTGTTGTGCTGAGGCCGAGCAATCATGGCTGTCAGTGCTCTACAGTGCTGTCTGGTTTGAAAACCACTCCTAAATAGCCTTCCTCCTGGCTGGGAGAGAGAGAGAGAGAGTGAGAGAGAGTATTGGTCACCAAAACAGATCTGGGCACGCGGCCTCATCCCTACCGCTGCAGTGAATCATGCCCAGACGGACATGGGATACCGGTAGTAGCGTTCACTTTCATTAGGGTCATTAAACCCGACCGCCTTCTGTGGAATTAGATGCAATTTCTTGGGTGAGACAAAGTTCGAGGACCAGCAACGATTTATCACTCGATACCAGGAATGTTATTTTTAATCAATACGCATGCAGAAAAAAAAACAAAACAACTGTTGTGCAGATGACTCAGTGGCACCACACACTGTACAGTCAACATAAAAAAAACATGCTGTCATATTTCGGAAACGGACCAGATTGCTTCCTGGAAGGGACGCTAAATGTTGCTGTACGAGCTTGTACAATCTCCGTGAGTATTTCCAGGTCTATCAGCCTTCGCCTACACACCAGGGTGTGTACACAAATGACACTTCATTCAGATATGCAAACTGTCCAGAACTGAGTCAGGGGAACTGTGGATCCCTGTGTTGGGAAGTTGTCTTTAAGCTGGAGAATTGTGTTCTCCACACTGCCCTCTAGTGGCTTGGAAAAATCAGCAAAACAAATAATAATAATATGAATTATTATTATTATTATTATTATTATTATTATAAGCAGCGCCAGGATAAAATGAAGTCACTGAGGTGAAACCCGGCAGCGCAGTCCAGCAAACCAAACGCACCCTACGTAGGCCTCGTTACATGTCTGTGCTAATGAGAAGCAACTGCCTCATCCCTTTAATGTTAGCTTAGACGTGTATGACATCTTACACAATCAGCAAAGGGACTCACTGACACACAGCACATGCGATAATGCACGGGGAGTCACACACACACACACGCTGTACACAGCATCTGAACATGCATGAAAATGCACGTGCGGTAACCACACTGGGGGGAGAGAGAGGGAGGAGGGGGAAGGAGCTGGATATAAGTAATTTAGCACAGTGTGACACTTTCACGGTCTAATTAGCCCCAGTGTTGCAGTAAAAACGTTCCAGTGACCCCTCCAGTTCTGGTTACTCATTAACTATAGATGTGGCTGGAGATGGTCAGCTTCTCTCATCCGTCAAGACCTGACTCGTCTCAGCAGAGGCGCCACGGAACCTTCTGGAACATCTGGTCACAGATAAAATCAGACACATTCCTAACAAATCTTAGAAAAGAAAAAAAAAAAGAAGTGTAAATTGGAGAAAGGCCCATTATTTTCTGCATGTACAGACAGCCCGGGCTGTTGCTCGCTCACTACTGTTGCTGCCTTTGACATGGTGATGGGGATTTTCCTCCTCCTCCTTCTCCTCCTCCTCCTCCTCTCTGTTGCAGCAGCAAGCTGTGATCAAACTGCGCCTTCATCCTCTCTCCCTCTCCCTCTCATCAGCTGAAAGGCTTCAGTAGCAGGGTGCCCCAGATTCACAGACCACCTCCCCCTACCACCTAATGCAGAGGCTGCTGTATCAGCGCTTGCGAAGCTCTAGTGACTCCTACTGGCCAGGAGACGAGTGGTGCAACTGGCAATCTTTTTTTATTTATTTTTTAAAATTTCAGTGATTTCATGCTACACAATGAATCCTGCCAAAATTACAAAAAAAATATATAAATATAGTGGAATTTTAAGAAGACCATATGCTCTGGTAATGCCTTTTTTAAAATCTGGAGACTTCATTTGTTTTTCAGCAGCAGATGCCAGGCCACATTTTACACATATGACCAAGTGTGACTTCACACAGTGCCTGTGATTCTCTGTTGTCTTCAGTCCACTATTGCGGTGCTCCTGAATGAGGTTTCCGCATTAGCCTGAGGGCAGTGGGACAGCCATTGAGGTGGGGGGGGGGGGGCAGTAAATGGTACATCCAAATTGATGTTTGTGTGTGGTGTTAATTTACTGAGTGGCCTTTTGGCAGAAATAAGTGACTGGAGAGTTTAACAGCGCAGCAGACCTAAGAGCCATTACCAAATAGACTGTCTCAGCATTTTCCATCTAAATAAGGCCCTTTTTTTTCTGTCACAGAGTGTAATCAGGGTCCAGCAAACCGCAGGGGTGACTTTGGGTTAAGCACTGTCAGGGATAATTCTCTCCGTGTTCACTGGAGAGTTATGTAAGAGTTTATCTGAGGTTTTGTGCAAGATTGGGAAACTAAAAAACTAAAATTGGAACATCAGGTTCTGTACAAGAGAAATATACATGTACATAAAGTATCTTATCCACTAATCCGTATGTACAGTACATGCACATATCCACTAATCCGTATGTACAGTACATGCAAATATGTACCGGTATACAAATATAGTGTGTTTCAAACACTTAAAACAACTTTATTGTTCTGCACAGAAATTTGTCCTGGAGCTTCAGTCGCACCAGTGCCCTCTAGCGGTAGTTAGTCGTGAATACAACGACCGGAAATATTTAGTGGTTCATGAGTAGCAGATATCGGTACACAAGCCTGTGTGAAAATACCAAACGTGAAATTATTTATTTTAATATATAAAGTTGCACCTCAGTACAAGTCGCAAACCAAGCCAAAAGATGAAGTGTCTGGAAGAAGCCGCAAACCCAGCCAAAAGATGAAAACAAAGTGTCTGGAAAATACGCTATATGAAATACTACGGTTGGTATAGTCAAACAATAACACATAATCTCTTACTATGTACTGTCCATAAACAAACAAAAAAAAATGATACCAAAGAAAGGAATACAGGCAAGAAAGCAGGATGAAGGAAGAAGTAACATTCTTTAATAGACAAACCATTCACTGTACACTGCATTCACACTCTCTCACAATGGAGAGAGAGAGACAGAGCTATGAAAAGTGTCACTGTTACCTACAGATCTGATGCTGCTTCATTCTGACCACACCCAAACCTGTTCACTTCACCTTTCAGGATCCTGCCTTAAAGGAAGTACTGTACTGTATATCAAATTGCACAAATTCATTTGGGCCTTGACGTGATGTTAACTTCCCAGAAGACAACGACCTCGGTCAGGTACAAATTAATTCTAGGCACCGCCGCGGTAATGGCAACAAGAGAAGGAAACAAAGAGGGAGGATCGCAGTGGACCAATCGCGCCACACACACACACACACTTATACACATCTGTATGTAAATCTCTCTTCCAGCAGTTGTTGCTGTTGCCGAGTGTAACCGTCATACTGTAAAACTACACTGAAACATTACAATACAAAGGAATTAATTACAGTGGTTCCCCAAGATTTTGGGGGAAAAGTAGTTGATGTCAGTGATTTTTTTCTCATTTCATGATGTCTTTGCTATGACTATACAGCATATAGTTTGTTTTTCTTTAAACATTTGCACTCTAAATACAGATTTAGTCGGCTCTGTGGAGCACAAAATTCAAGTTTCACAGCATCCTCGCCACGATCTGGATTTTTTTTCAATCACTTGCTCAATGACCCGCTTTAGTCCTTCTGGTGCCAACACATTACACAATAAAGCGTCATAGCCTTATTGGTTCGGAGTCACCCCCCCCCCCCCCTTTTTTTTTTGATTTGTCAGCCTAGGCACCATCTTGACTCCAAAAGGCAGAAGACTGAGTTTCGCAGTTCAAATCTGTTTATTTTTTCTTCCTTTGTCTTCTTCCTCAGCAGCAGCTTTCATTCATCACCGTTCAAGAGGGAATAACACTTCGTGGCCTTGTCAATTTTATCAACACACTGTACATATACACAACAACAGAGAAGACCACCTTCCCAAAGACAAATGTCCTCCGTCTTCCGGTGCACATACAAATCGAAACATATGGCAAGCGGGTATGAAAAGAAGCAGAGGAAAAGCGGGGCAAGTTCGGTACGTGTTTGTTTACGAGTGCTTGATGGTGTATTTTCCTTTCTGCAACTGGGAGATGTACAACTTCGACTTAGTTCCGTCCAAACGTTTGAACCACACCTCGTCGTTGTTAATGGTGGTGATAATGGCACTGAAACGCACATACAACAACTTATCGTCACTCAAATATAGGTATATCAAATTGTTACTATTTAAAATGTGATGTTGCCAAAAGGATGTCACAGTAGGCAAACATATGCATACAGAATATAGTCAAACAGAGCATAGATTGGATTTTCTTTCCCGCCACTCTGTTCTTATTATGTCATCAAAAACCAAATGTGCTCAAACAACACACAAACGTCCCACCATCACCTAGTTTGGCCAATAGGGAACATGGATTATCAGATCAGTGAAAACACAGCTGTCCATCCTCCACATCTAACACAAAGACTGCATGGCTTTATATCGTGATATATCGACGTTTACATTTCCAAAATACTCTTAACAGGCAATTCCTCCTTACAGGTTCGCACAAGAAGCCCACACCTACCTTGTTGGGTATTCGTCCTTCCTGTTGATGCAGATGCCCTGCCCCCTGCAGTACCACTGGTTGTCGTAGAAAAGGCGACCATCCTCGGAGCGTGCGACGTGGTGATGCCTGTCAGACTTGACTGTCGGTACTGAGGGGAGGAAAAGAAAATGAATCAGGCAAAGGCTGAAGGTTCAACTCTTATGTACATACTAACTTCAACAAGGACTAAGATGAAACTCTTACCATCCACCTTCACTCTGTGTGGCCCCAGAGATGCCATCGCCTGCAGTGGAAGCAAACTTAATACAAATCATTCACTCAAAAGTTAGCAATTAATGTCTTACGTCTACAACACTACCTTCCTTATCGCTGTCCAGTCTTCAAGGATGTCCAGATCTTGCAACATGTAAACAATATAAGGTCGTAATGCGGCGGTTAAGAGAAAACTATTTGGGAATTGCCAAGAGGTAAAGTAAAATGTGTGGAAGGAAGACAAAACAGAAGGGAAGGATATCAGACACAACAACGGGCTTCTTCTTCTTAACTGGGCAGAACGGGTCTTTTTTCTTGTTCTTCCTCGAGTGCAGTCCGTCGTTCCACAACTCTGGAACCGAAGCAGACGGGACATTATTTTAATAACATTACAACAACTGCGTAAGTGCGAAGATTGCTTCGTCTTTGCAGAAGGACTTCGCTACAAGTGAGACAAGGAAACAATGCCAAACAAGGAAATTCTCATGACACAATAATAAGTAAAGGACAAGGTTTGTTAATATTTAATTTGACGGATGATGCAGCATCAGGACCAATAAAGTTCAAGTCAGAGACACCAGTGCTACAGACTATAGACATTTTTTGCATTAAAAAAATAAAGCCACAGTAAAGCAGCACCTGAGGTGATGTCGATACTGTGTCTGTCTTCTTCCAATCTCCTTATCTTCTCCTCTAGTTCACTCTGCACGGTATCAAACAGAAGCAACTTCTCACTCTGGAAAAAGAAGAAAAAAAGAAAATTTGAAAACAAACCAAATAATCACCCAGTGAATGATGTCTGGAATTATTCAATTAATAATTCAATTAAGACAAAATCTATGTCAACGACCCAAATGTTGGTCTCTCACCTCCCAATGTTGACAAGCTGCTTGTATTTCACACTCGTACTTATTCTTCACTGATTCCAAACAAAGCTCCCTATAAATGCCTGCAACAAATATTGAGAAAAATGTTATTTTAATCATTTTTTATTGCATCGTTATTTATATTCACAAAAATAAATGAAAATGAAAAATATTTTATGGACACACCAGCAACTTTAGTCCGAATCTGCATGTTCTCCTGCAGGTTGGCTAAAGGTTCCAGGTACTCCTGGGCACAGCCAGCCATCACTTCCTGTAGCTTGATGTCTACCTGGCTTAAACGTTCCTTGTACAACCTACACAGTGATGAACATTGTGTACAACACAAAAATGTCACTTCAACTCAGTGAGAGAATTTTTGATCTTTTTTTGCATTCTTTTTTTTTTTAAATCTTCTCCTCAACTAAGGGAATGTTCCCTTTCCTCATCAACTATATAAGATTATACATTATTTCTTAATATATACATAAGAATCTTTAAGTAGATTCAATATTTATAACCAGAAGTAATTGATGAAGATCACGGTCCGAACAGACACGGTCTGGTCAACCATTCAAATACATTGGTTTTGACAGTTCTTCTGGCTCTATATCTGTCAGCATTGACAGGACTTACTGCTCCTTCAGGTCAGTAAACTGTTTCTCCAGCGTGGTCATCTCATCCAGACATTCCATCCTTCTTCTCTCACAATCTTCATCATCCATCTCTGCATGAAAACAAGACGGGTTGGTTTGCATCCGTCACAGTAAATTCTACCCACCGTCAACCACTTTCTTAATAAACATGGGGTTTTTTCAAACGCAATTTGAACAGTACGTTTGTCGAACAGTCCTGTTTAAAAAGACGGGTCCAAGCCCTTGTTTTGGGCCCGTTTTCCTTACCAGAACTGTCTCCATCTTCGGACACGGTGGAGCTAACGGTGTCATCTTCGTCTGTGCTGCTGCCGTCCTGCTCGGGAAAATCAACCTCCATTTCTTCGTGGTTACTTTCTTTCTTTTCCCGGGAGTGAACCGGCATTGCGGGCTAAATAAACCGACGTTTGCAAAATGGCAGACGGCTTTGTAAATTTATGTCTACAGCAAAAAAGGTAAATGTGGCACAGACAGCTAACCGGCTAGCCTGCCCACATCTATACAGCTTATTTTTCTACTTCTCAGTTGTTTGGTGGCTTTCAATTCCTTTACTTGAATTACCGCCATCTACTGGTTTGACTACTTAACCTGAGGAGGAGGAGGGGCATAATACACTGCTACGAGAGGTAGGAAAGGGCAAAAAAGAACTACCTGGGTGGATGTGAAATTCTTTCACATTAATAATTATGGTGGGTATGGATGTCACGAGGGTAAAGATAACTTAACACAAACAAACTGTTTACGTTTAAACTCCATAATGAGGACGTTTTATGTGATGTCCAGCCATTTATTGACACTGCCGACAATGTTTGAAAAACCGAAAGGTAAGAATTAATCTTTGATGATTTTCCGTTATTGCACGTAATTTCATTTGTTCAATTGTACAGTCTGCTTTTCGTTCGGGTTAAATGTATTTTTTCTAAGTTGGCTGTACTGGTACCACAACATTGTTGTCGTCAATTATCTATTTTATTTCTTTCCGCACACATCTACACATTCTTTCTGCATTAACGATAATCTTTTATCATGGGACTTTTAAATTTACGTCATTTTCTCTCGTTAGTTTGCGCATGCGTAGCAAGAGCATTTAAATTAAACCGGAAATATTGCTCTCGTTTATCAAACAAACAATACCAGCCCTGAATGTCAGGAAGTTTATACTTTATTGAAAATATTACCAATTGAGGAAACAAAGACTGGCACATATTTTGTGTTTTATTTGTATTTTATTGACCTTTTATAACAAATTCACACATGGTGGCAAATCTTGAAGGATACACACAGTATTCTTGGATTACTTTGTGGTCTTTTTTGCATTTCCCCAAAAAAGACACATTATATATGTATACATGTCATCATAAAATGTCTTTTTATTTTAAGTATGGCACAATATGATGATTTGAGGCACTTTCAGATCAAATCATTAACTTATTTTTGTTATAGAATGCCCTTGGCTGTTTTTTTTAATATATATTTTATATATATTTTTAGTTTTTTTTTATATTGTGTGCCTGTTTGCACCTTGGGTCACAGATGTATGGTATATTCCAATAAAGTTGATTTGCCTTCACAATTTAATTTAAATGTAATCTTCACAAAATAAAACTTTCTCAACAAGTAATAAAAATACACAAATTTTCATTGAAATGCCTAGTTATTTTCTTTTCCAAGGTTCGATTTAAAAAAACAAAAACTTTTTTTTAGGTATGCCAACTTTCGATCACAATAAAATATTATACTTATAAGATCCTGAAAAGGTTTTTATTAGAAATAAAACTTTCCCAAAAATGACTAAAAATGTCCATTTTTGTGGTTATACTTCAGAAAGAGTATACTTTTTTGGTACACCAACTTTTGATCAACTTTTGTGCAACAGACTTTCTACTGTAAATGTAATGTTGGCGGTGCTGTTGAAGTGACTACTTTGTAGCTGCTTTTAAGGAAAATCTGTTTGTTTGTGTTAGCATGTGGCACGTTCTTCTAATCTGCAGGTTCTTCCAAGCTGTGTACGAAGAGGTGTTTGGCAGGAGTCAAAGGTCATTTTGGTCCCATCAACTGTGTGGCTTTCCACTCTGAAGACCAGAGGTAAATGAGACCAACACAAGTTTTGATTGTGTTAATCCAGCTTGTTCTTGTCATTAAATTCATTGCGCCTCCTCTGCTATTGTCATCTACAGCTACAGCAATGGAGGAGAAGACGGACATGTGAGGTTTCACTACTTAGAGCTGGAGGCCTAAAGTGTTAGGCTTGTGGACACAGCAGCTTGGACTGTCAGGTAGCGACTTTATTTGAAGCAGATCACGTGTTTGTGTCATTCCACCTCCTCTGCTATTGTCATTTACAGTTCCAGCAGCGGAGAAGATGGATACGTGAGATTTCACTACTTTGACCCACAGGCGGTGTGAATCACTTGACTTGTGAGTGTTTTACTGAATTGTGTAATTCCATTCATTGTGCCTTAATGCTATAGTCACTTTTTGGCAACACATTGCTCATAGCCTTTGCACTTCTGGTTATTCCATTCCATGTGCCTTACTGGTATACTTCCTTAACAGGGTCACTTTTCTTTTTGCCTTAGCACTTATTTCATTGTGCCTTATTGGTATTGTGCTTTCATCGTGAACTGTATGTGACTGAAATGACTGTTGTAAATGTTCCAGAATAAAGAAAATGGTTTGGACCATTGTGTGGCTTCATTTCAAGATATTTGAGGAAATATGAATGGATTTTCTCATTGCCTTTTAGGGCATGCATTGTCAAAGTCAAGGGTATAGTTAAGGTAAAGGAAGTTTTTATTTATAGGTTTTTTAAATTTTTTATTTTTTTTTAAGTTTGAAGTGCACTAAGGAACTCCACCTGATGGGGAACATGTGGATATTTCTCAACATAAAAAGGCTAGTTTTAACAAAGTGGAAAAATTCTTTAGCTTGATCATTTACTGAAACTGCAATCAAATATTCTTGGGGAAAAAAAATAAAAAATAACTCGCACTCACAGTAAAACAGACTTACTGGTAGTAGTATTTGCCCTTTCCAGCCCCCATGTCCTGTAAACATTTTACAACACACTGTAAACGCTATCCAAAAGTTTCATTTCCGGTGACAAAAAATAAAAAAATGAAATGAGTCCACCGGTCCAGTAGATGGCGATATGGGTCTGCTGCTACACCTGGAGGGATTTAATTAATCAATTTCATACATGTTGATTTACACAGGGAGGATGTCAGCATGTCAATGTCTGTCAGTGCTTTCACTTCCAGCCTGTTCTCCTTGTACTGCAGCTGCCATAAACATGATTGGAATGCTGACACCGGAAATGTCAGCTAACTGTGCTAAATCTTTCATGCCAAGGTTTAAAGCAAAAGAGCATCTTAAGAGACACTTCAGGCACATGTTAGACTGTCTGGATGATTGAGGACGCTGCCTGACCAGAGGCCATAAAAACCCCTTCAGTGTAGGAGCCGGCACATTAACTGCAAAACCAAGTTACCGTAAGACCTCTCTTGAGCCAAAGCATCAACAAAACATAATACTAAACTACCAGAAAAATAAAAATGTTAGTCCCTCTTTGCTTTAAGCTAGACTCTCACTGGATATGTTTCTGGATCATCAAGAAGCTAAATGGTTGGGGTCAGAGGTCAGGCATGGAAGAGCAGTGTAGTTTTTGTAGTTTTGTACTACAACTCAAACTTCCACTACAACACCATCCAGTCAGCTAGTTACTGTTAGAACCAGGGCAGTTTTCACCATCAGTGATACATTGTAGCATCAGTATTTTATTGTTTACTTTACCTGTTATACCCGATTATGTCAATATCTATATTTATGCTTTAACTTCAAGTAAAATTGGTTACAAAAGAAAGGAAAAATACGTATGTCTACAATGTCTTTTGTTTTTGTAGTTTTGTACTACAACTCAAACTTCCACTACAACACCATCCAGTCAGCTAGTTACTGTTAGAACCAGGGCAGTTTTCACCATCAGTGATACATTGTAG